CACCCTAAACCCTCACCGGAACACTTATAATTTCACAGCCCTCCCCTGGCAGCAGCAAACGCTCTTTAGGGTTCGAGAGAGACCGCAACCCTGCAGCACAAACCCTAAACCCTAAACCCTAAACCCTAATCCCTAAACCCTCGTTTCAGAGTTTCTGTACTGCAGTGGGTTCTCTCTTTAGCTGTTGAGGGTTTATGATGGTTGCAGGTTATGGCTGAGGGTTTAGGGTTGCGAAACCCTAAACCCTAAACCCTAAACCCTAGAAGGGTTTAGCGGTTTACATGTGTACTACGTATTAGGAAATCACAAGCCAGGCATGCAGGGTTTAATCCTAAATTAGGGTTTAGGGTTTAGGGTTTAGGGTTTNTTAGGGTTTAGGGTTTAGGGTTTAGGGTTTGGGGGTCTAACCCGTTGCGATGGCTGCAACGATTCGCTCATAGAGAAGGTCTTCAGGGTTTAGGTGCTGCGCAGGGGGCAAGCTCCACCAGTTGCTGCTGCTGCTGCTGCTGCTGCTGCTGCTGCTGCTGTTGCTGCTGCTGCTGCTGCTGCTGCGCCAAGCAGCAAAGGCCTTGGATCCAGCAGCAGCAGCAGCAAGATAGGCTGCTGAGGGACGGTGCAGCAGCACCAGCTTTGCTGCTAGGTGCTGCAGCGAGCAGCAAACCCTCGCGTTGCTGCTGCTGCAGCAGCTACCCAGCAGCAGCACGACATTACGTAGCCCCCCACGCCAGCTACACATCGGGGGTTCTATGCTGCTGCTGCTGCTGCTGCTGCTGCTGCTGCTGCTGCTGCTGCTGGGGCTGGCGCTGCAGCAGCTGCTGCTGCTGCTGCAGCTGCTGCAGGTACAGTTTACACCCCTATTCTCAACAGCAACATGTGCTGCTGCCAGAGCCACCAGCAGCTGCTGCTGCTGCTGCGGCTGCTGCTGCTGCTCCTGAGCAGCATGCAGCTCAACCAAAGGCAGCTGCTGCTGCCCTGCTGCTGCAACTGCTGCTGATGCGGGCTCCGTGTACGCCTGCAACACCACAAACCCTAAACCCTAAACCCTAAACCCTAGACCTTGAACCCCAAACCCTAAACCCTAAACCCTCTAAACCCTAAACCCTAAACCCTAAACCCTAAACCCTCGTAACTTGCCTGCTGACAGAGCCTTGAAACGAGCTGCAGCGGCAGCGGTGTTTGGGGGTGTAGCTGCAGCAGCAGCGCGAGCTTCGGCAGAGCAGCAACAGCACCAGCAGCAGCAGCACCTGCTGCTGCTGGGTCTTTAGGGTTTGTTGCTAAGCAGCGCAGCAGCAGCAGCATAACGAGATTACATTCCGTGCTGCTGCTGCACCAGTCTTGCTGCTGCAGCTGCTGCTGCATGTCTATGTGTAGCTGCTGCGCTATTGCTGCGCTGCTGTCGTATACTAACTGACTCATATGCTGCAGCAGCCGCAGCTCCCTCTGCTGCTGCTGCTGTTGCTGCTGCTGCTGCTGCGGCTGCTGCTGCTGCTGTTGCTGCTGCTGCTGCTGCTGCTGCTGCTGGTTCTCCAGCTGCTCTCTGCACAGAGCTAATGCAGCAGGAAGGTCTACAAGGATATCGTCTTGCTGTTGCTGCTGCTGCTGCTGCTGCTGTTGCTGCTGCTGCTGCTGCTGGCCACCTTCAAGCCTGCGGCGCTTCTCTGCTGCTTCTACTGCAGCAGCTATGTTGCTGCTGCTGCTGCGTTTGCTGCTGCTCAGCAGCTGCAGCAGCACAGCCCTTCTCTCCCAGGTGATGAAAATATCTAGGATTTCGAGTACGTGTTTTTTTCCATCAGTTTTTGCTGCTGCTGCGTTGCTGCTGCTGCTGCTGCTGCTGCTGCTGCTGACATGCAGCAGCTGCTGTGCTGCACCCAGCAGCAACGCAGACACAGATCGACGATAAAAAAACAAAAGCTGCTCGTGCTGCTGCGCCAGCCGCAGAAACTGCAGCAGCGGGATATCTCCAGAAGCTCGCAGCAGCAAACGCAGCCAAGCGGGGGCCATACGTACGTTGCTGCTGCTGCTGCTGCTGCTCATGCTGCTCATGCTGCTGTTGCTGCTGCTGCTGCTGCTGTTGTTGTTGCTGCCGGGATCAAGCTGCAGCGGCAGCAGCATTGAAGGGAGAGAGATTAGCTGCTGCAGCAGCAAACCAGCAGCACGCCGCAGCAGCTGCGGCCGCGGGGATGCCTGACACGAGAGAGCTTGCTGCAGCAGCAGCAGCGGCAGCCGCTGCTGCTGCAGCTCCAGGTGTCTAGACACCTCAGCCAGCAGCAGCACAGCCATGTGCTGCACTGCTATGCTGTCGCCTTGACACTGCATGCACAAAACCCTAAACCCTAAACCCTCAACCCTAAACCCTAGACCCTAGACCCTAAACCCTAAACCCTAGACCCTAGACCCTAAACCCTAAACCCTAATCCGGGTTCAGGCCTAGCACCGCAGAACCCCGCCGAAACAGCAGTCGCAAACCCTACCCTCCACCCACTAAACCCTAAACCCTAAACCCTAAACCCTAAACCCTAAACCCTCGCTCACCGCTGTGCGCCAGGCAAAAGCAACGAGCTGCTGCCTTGCTTTGGTGTCGTACAGCA